CCGAGACATGAGGGGGACTCTTAACGTGTGGTAAGAGCCATGGAGCCGTTTTAGTGGCTAACGTTGGCTGGCTTTAGCATAGTTAGCTAGCTAATCCATCAACACCCGGGCTTGTGACAGCTGACCAGCCAGCCGGACCGAGCTAGGGTTAGCATTAGCATATTTAGCTGACAGGCTGTTGAATTAAGTTAGCCTGGTTTAAACGCGTTGCTGGTTTAGGGCTTTATGACGCTGCGTTAGTGACAGGTGACATCGGAGCGTCTTCCAGGAGTGGCAGGACTGTCTTTTAGGGTGCACAGGTGCGGTTGTTTATGTGAGTGATGTACGGAGGCTAATTGATGCTGATAACTAGCCTGCTAGCTAGCATTGGTATGTCGTCGTTGCTTGGTGCAACAGTATGGCAAACAAACAACAGACTGACAGCCACCTCCTTACTTAGCACGCGTGTGCTAATGGGAATAAACGGCACAACAATCCATGTTTGCGTTTCGTCTGTGTCTTCCATTCACGGATTAACTGTATTCGGTTCAATAAGGAACATGACATGCCGCACAGTGACTGTTTAATTGATACGTGCGTTAAGATTACTGCTGACACATAGGGTGTGTGACTGTCATTTGGCAGGCCGACAGTCCTGCTGGGATTATTGTAGGAATTTCCGTGTTCATTTATTTGTTTGTTTGCTTTGTTTATCATCAGGGGATGAGACGAGATCGGCTGTTTCCACATTTGCAGCTCTGGGCTCGTTGACTCTCTGTTTCGGCTCAGGATGGCGCAGGGAGGCTCTCAGCTCGACTACCACATCCTGCAGGACCTCAAGCAGCGTTTCCCAGAGATCCCAGAGGGGGTAGTGTCACAGTGCCTTCTGCAGGTACATATTGAAAGCTGCTATTTGGATTGAGACTTGTTATGATATATGTATTAGTGCATCATGCTGTGTTTGCACTAATTCTTGCATCGTAAAAACATTGCAGAAGATATTTATGATCACAACATCGATACCTATTAATCACTCTCCTTTCTGCCTCAGAACAACAATAACCTGGATCTCTGCTGCCATCTGCTGGCTCAGGAGAGTAACAGATACCTGTATGGTGATTTCCATCCCAGTCCAGAGGAGGGGCGGCTGAACCGAAATCACATGCTACACATTAGCTTGGGCTACCCAGGTTCAGATGCAAGCAAATCAAATGGAGGAGCAGGAGGAGTAGGGCGCTCCCTAGTGCACAGCACCAGTGACAGTCACATCGATCCGCAGCGACCCAACTACCCCGAACCGCTGTCAGCCCCTGCCGCCATGGCTCCTTCCCCTGGATACAATCCTTTTTTCATGAATGATCAGAGCCGCTCGGCCAGCACTCCCACCCCTCCGCCCACAATACCAGGCATGTCTCCCACATACTCTTCTGTTTCACATTACACCATGAACCCTATAACAGTCACTCTTTCCCAAAGCATACCCAACGTCCCACAAGCTCTGCAGATCCCTCCTGGACACTACGCGAACAACACCAACGCAACCCTGTACATTCGGCCCTCGCCATCTCAAAGCCCGCAGCCAGCACCCTGGTCCTCCTCAGGTGCTCCCGTCTATCAACATCAGCAGTCCCCGTACAGCACTCCCACATACGGCTCACCTTACAGCTCCCCACAGCATCAGGTCCAGGCGCAGCCCCAACCGCAACCCCAGCTACAACCCCAGCTGCAACCCCAGCACCAGCCCCAGCACCAGCAGTATGTCTTCCTCCCTATAAGCTCCCCAACTCTTCCCAGCATGCCCTACCATCACCAGCAGCCGCCCCAGCAACAGCCTCCTGTTTACAGGCCGTACCAAACAAAGAACCTCCTTAAGAACCAGATAGAGATTACTCTGGAGGGTCCGCGGCCTCGCAGCAATTCACCTGTGCACACTCCTCACCCCCCGGGACCACTTTACATGTCTACCAGCTCTTCGCCCAGTTCCCCTTCGAGGGGCATCGCAATGAGTGCAGGTCCGCAGTCGTACCACCCTGGGGTGTACATGCAGGGAAGACCTCGGCCCGCCTCGTCCCCTCAACCGGGGCAGTCAGCCTACACGTTCAAAATCAAAGTGTCCCCAGGAGGGCAGGCTCAGAGGCCCCCGAGCTCGCCACCCGTCACTGAAGCCGAGCCTATTCTCAACATAGTAGACCAAGGGGCGCACAACGCCGCCCCTGCACCCATCCTGCCCATCTCCGCTCTCCCGGGGACGATCACCAGTCAGTTTCAGCCAATGCCCAGACGTTCCAGCTCGGGCTCTGACGACTATGCCTACACGCAAGGTAAGGACTTCTTGTTTTGGTTTGTCCGTCAAAATCTTATATTTCAATATTCATATCATTTTATATCTGTTATGCTTTGCAATACTTAAGATCTCACCTGTCATGGGTTTATATGAGCAGCACAACTTCTGCTGCTCATATTGTTTGGACAGTGTGGTCACAGCTGCACCTTCAGCCTTATAAATGATATTTTTTACTGCTTTGTGCTTGTTTGTCATCTTTAAATATGTTTGGTTGTCTGCGTGTTGAGATGAGAAAAGGTGATTGTCAGCCTTTTTTTTTTTTAATTTAAGGCTGCATGTTGGTCTCTTGCATGTGTTAAGTACTTAAGTGATTGTAGTCTTCCCCACGCCCTCCACCTGCACCATCACTTTCAGGCTTATATAGCAGAGTCGCAGCAGAGCATTGCAGCTTTTCTTTTCTTTTTAAAAACCTCATTTTTGTGTTTGGTGCGTTTCCCTGCAGCTCTCCTGCTCCACCAGCGGGCGAGGATGGAGCGTCTGATGAAGGAGCTGCGGCTGGAGCAGCAGAAACTCGAGCAGCTGAAGGGTGACGTCAACAACATGGAATACGATGCCCTTCAAAGACGCTTTCGACGAGTCAACTCCACCAGTCTTATCCCCCGAGTAAGGCCTGAACGCGTTTACATGTCAGTCTTTGTGTGCTGCTTCACTGACCAAAGCTGTAAAGGCAAGCTGTGAAGTGATCACTGATTTTATTATTATTTTATTCACTGGGAACTACTTGATTATTCTCCCAAGACGTTCGTAGCTGCTGCTGCTTACTCTGCAGAGTTTTCACTTGATTTCATTTTCGTTGATGAGCTGAAGGACTTGTCTGTGCATGTTTGTCCTGTTTGTGCAGTATTATCTAATCTCACCTGCTGCACACGCCTCACCGGTCCAACACCTGCCAGTGAACGGCTTCAGTTTTTATTGCCACCACTTTGTGGTGATATGTTGCCTGTAAAAACACCATATTTAAGGATATTAGAGAATTATCACTGAGACGGTCAACCTGGTGTTAAGACTGGTTTGATTTCACTGCTAATGAATATGAAAGTGGAGTGGGAGTGTGGGAGTGGGCTAATCAGAGCGGCTCGTGTGCTTACTGTCTGCAGCCTGAGGAGATGACCCGACTACGCAGTCAGAACAGACAGCTTCAAATTGACATTGACTGTACACTGAAGGAAACAGATCTACTGCAGTCTAGAGGTATGCACACATCACTCGCACACAAATGCATTCCCACACAAAGCTTTGAAGTGTGTCTGTGATTTATTTGAAAGCACTGATCTTGAAAGAGCCGAGGCCTGAAGCAGACGGTGTCGGCTCCAGAATGATGGACGAGTATCCACTGCAGCGCGTGCAGATGCAGGCTTGTGAAATGACGGGCCGGTGCGTTGCAGGCCTCGGGCTGATCTGTGCTCGCCCCCACTCTGGGCCCTGCGTAGTATTTCACTGCCACATGATTCTTGTTGATTCTGCAGTTGAGACACTTGGCCTACAACACAGCGTGTGGACATTAGCTCCAATCCTTGATCTGTTTAGCAGGAGTGATGATGATGATGGAAGCTGAAACAGCACACTCACAAGTGTGACCGATTTTCTTGCGGTCAGCCCGGCGCCACCGAACATTTAAGAGGGGCTCTTCTGCAGTAATCCTTCAGTTATCTCAGGGAGCTTCAGGATTCATTTGGCTGTGTTTGTCTGACCCTCTGCTTTGCAAGACGTGCTGCAGAGAGCAGCCCCACAACGCGATGCTGCCACAACACTCCATGGCGCATTGTGTGTCTGTGGATGTGACATAAATGTTGGCCTTGTGAGATCAGACGTTTCGTTCAACAGGATGCAGCAAATCACAGCGATCGTGTTCACCTGTGCAGCACCGTTAGAGTCTGATACCTAATTTTCTAACAAAGACAAGATTATCGGTGCCGTTAATTCAAGATAAGCTCGTGTGCCTGTGAGATGTGGCCTCGTGTTATTCATGTCACACCGTGAGATTCTTGTTGTCCTGAAATGGTAGCTGTAAAATTAATTTGACAACACGCAAACATTTTACATAAAATTTGTTTACAACTTAAACTCTAAATATAATTTGGCTTTGGGTTTTTATCCTCAGTGTTGCTGCAGTTCAGTTTGTACAAATCTGTAAATGTTTCTGCAGCAGAAAATCATCAGGAGCAAAGTTGTAAATAAACATTTGTTTTTAACGACTGTTGATATTTGGGGCTCTAAGCTGTTGTGTTGGGATTAGATGGGCTCAGAAACAGAACTGCAGCCCTCTGAAAAGCCTGCTGTTGTCCTTGTGATGAACGCTGTGTACAGGCATAAATTGCTTGAATGGTTTTTCTGTAATCCTGGAGTTTCTTCTACAAACTCGAGGACTTTGCTTACAGAGAAAATCCAACAGTTATTTAAGTAAACGTGTTACCAGCCTCGGCGGCTAGCTGTCCTTCTGTTTGGTGATGAAACTATTCTTGTCGTCTAAGCCGGCAATAAAATCCCATGTTGTCTTATTTCATGTTGTTCTTAAAATATTTTTCTAACCACTGGGAGGCTGATGCACGGTGGACCTCGTCGCAGCGTTGCACGCTCTCCTTCGCCTCCCTTGTAGCTAGACGTGCGATCCTACTAAGATGGAGGTGCCCCCGTGCCCCCCTAGGCTCAATGGCTGAGACCTTATGTACAATCTGAGCCGTGAAAAGATCCGTTGCACAATTAGCAATAACAGTGGCCAGTTTTACAAGGTGAGGGGCAATTCCTGAAATATTTTTCCAGCCTTCAGGTTGTGAACCCGACTTCCAGCATTACTCAGTAACCCCCCCCACCCCCTCCCTTTTTTTGTCGTCTTCTTTTTTTTTTTTGTTAAAGTCGTTTGTGGGGTTTTTTGTTATTTTTTTCTGTTTTATCTGTGACGGTGTTTTTGTGTTTGTTTGTTTTTGTCTTTAGTTTGGTGTGTTTGTTTGTTTTT